CCCTGAGTTAGCCTTCCAGTTTATTTATAGTTCAATGCCCTCATCTAAACATTCATAACTCATCCACTCGTTCCCATACAACAGGAGGAGAAAATCACTGCAAAAATTGCAAGTGTAAACAGGCATTTAACTTTTGCTTTGATCGCATTTTTAGGGTAAAAAAGAAGTTGAAATTGATCCTGAAATCTTGGTCACAGATGTTTTAAGTGATTATGATTCAGATAAGGTAATGTTTACCCAGTCCTTACATACTGTAGCAGCTTCATCTTTCAAAAATCCATATTTTCCATACTATAAAAATTGCATCACTAAATCATATCCATACTTTTTTCCATATTGTGAAAATTGGATTTCCATTCTATATCCAACGAACATCCATACTAGTTTCATAGTAAGGATTTGGAAAAAATTTCCAGTGTTGCCAATTTGTGACTTCAGTTGTGAGGCCTGATTTAGTGTACCTCTCAAAATCACTTTGTTTTTGCTTTACTCTTGATTGCCTCTTTATGCTGATCATTTCAGGATGGTTTTGTGACACTGGATGAATACAAGAAGTGGGCAACGTCACAGTCACTCTCCCGTCTTGTCTTGGATATCTTATTTCAGGTTTCCTTCTGTTTAACTGTGTTTTATAAATTGATCATTTTAATTCCATTGTACTCCTACAAGACAATGATTCTACATCCTCGACAAGCATGGAAATAATTGCAGCCTTTCTTTGATCCTATGCCAAAGGGCAAAGAATTTCTTTGAAAACATGCTCAGGTGGTCAAATACATTTAACAAGACTTAAACATTCCAGAACCATCCTCAGAGATACGAAAAACCAGTTTCATATTACTCTAAACATTCACTCATGCAGCTGTTAATTAAACAACAGCTGTACTTAACTATTAACAAAATCCATCAAATTGATTAATGATTAATTAAACCGGATAATCTTAATTATTAGAGCGTCTGTCAGGTTATCAGAAGATTATGCGCTTCGATTCCTGTCAGGTCAAATTGTAGCTATATTGCACATTGTTAATTCAAACCCTGTCCTTCATGTTAATAAATTTATTTTAGATATGTCATGTTGTATTTGGCTTAAGACCGGCAACACGAAAGGATGAATATCAAGTGATTTGGTAAGGTTGTATCTCTTAAATCTCTTTTTGCGGCTATCGCGAGTAAATGTCGTATTTGTTCTGCATTGTTGTTGCCTTTTGTCTACGTTACGTAAGGAAAGCGATGGTGCAGTAACACAACGACCTAATATACAATTTCTCTGTGATTACATAACATCGCTCTTTATCAAAAAGTTTGTTGCAAATTGTAGCCAAATATCCACGCCCTTGAATTTGTATGAACAATATTTTTCCAGGGGTTGGCTGGATCGGGAGAATTTCCGAGGCTTGCAGCCAGGTACCACTTGGTTTCTCATCGCCATGGAATGGTGGAAGAAATGGAAGGAATTCATTGGACGGCAAAAATCGGTAAAACTTCCCTTTTTAACATGAATATTTCACGAATAAATAAGAGCTGATTCTTTTCTGTGTCGTGCGATGAAAATCAGATTGACGTTATGGAGGTCAACTGCTAGCTCTACAAACAAATAGTACGGAGTACGCAATCGTCTTCCTTAAAATTTTCAGTTGCGAATTTTTTTGTAAATCTGTCATCGTTCATAAAGGCCCAATACAGACTGAACGCGATTGGACAACGCGACGCGAATATATATATCTATATATATATATATATATATATATATATATATATATATATATATATATATATATATATATATATATATATATATATATATATATATATATATATATATATACACACTAGGGTACTGTCATGTTTAGGTTATGGGTAAATATTGAGATTTTGTTGAAATTTTTAATTCGAGTGTTTTTAGAGCGTATCATTTTAATGAACGATCATTTTGGTATCTAGACTGTTGCGCGTAGTTTATCGACAAGTGCATTGGAGAAGAATGGGGTAAGTCCGCTGTCCAGTACACTCTCGTCATCTGCAAGTCAAGCATGGGATAGAATGGAAAGTTCTCAACGTAAAGTGATGGTCGGTAGGAGGTTATCTCAACCACAGCGTTCCGTTGCACCATTGGTTGATGTAAATGGAATCAATATTTCCAAACCTGGTACCATGGATAATTCATGTCTCGTTGAACAAGATGTTCGCAAGGTATGTAGAAGAAAATTCTCATGACAGTAAAAACCCGCGCAAAAGAAGCACTGTTTTTGTAGTTTTTCTAAAACAGTACAGTCTATATCAAGATTTATATGATGGTCTGAAAACTTCACAGAAGTCATTGTATTATCAGTTATGCCATCATTCGGAGATGAACCGCAATAAACGCTAAGACGTTCAAAGCTAACTTTCATTAACTGTTTCGACTGTTTCATTGGTCGGAACTCCACTCAAAGTTTTAAAATAGTTGAGAAAAAAGTGCTACTTTGCACTGACATCAGTAAATGGTTAGACTTTTGCTCGGATCCCGTATATCAATTGGGCGACAACCTGAACTCCACGCTCAACAATGAGCGAGAAACTCAATGTAATCATATTATATAATTTTAAAATTTGACTTTTATAATTGGACAGATTCAATCGCTGACTGCCGACGGCGGCAAATTGAAGTGTTCCGTACCGTTGGTTCGAGGAAGAGATTTTGAAATTGTTCCTGAATCTGTATGGAAGGCACTGGTTCAGTGGTATACGGGCTCACCAGCCTTACCAAGAAACGTGAGTTCAATGAATAAAAATTTGAGCTGAAGCAAAAAGTTTTATTAACCATATTACCAAAACCATGGATGCTTCCTTTCGCCCGAAAAAAACGTCTCATGTCAAATGTAACCCTGAATGTTTTGACACGAAAATATGACGCGCATAGACGTTGTAAACGTAGTTTATAATGATTCGCATGCACGATGCATAATTTTTCTAATATTTTAGGTAATTATTGCAACCGATGGCGATCCTAGTCCTATTTTGGAACTCTTCCCCAGGCTTCTATTGCTCTATCGTCACGCTCAACCTCCGGCTAAGAATAGCTTCACCTCGTGGTCTGGCATGGGATTTGGTTTGAATGGCTTAAATTTTGGCCAATCGTCTGGTGGGTCTGTTGCGCAGATGATCACACCGAAACGACAACTTAGCTACACGGCTGTGTTCAGTAGAATGAATACTTTGCAACAGGTAAAATATCTAATTTGGCCATCTAGAACTGAACCTTTTTGCTGGAATTCGAATCGAAGATGTTTATCTGAGATAATTTCAACCGTGACTGTTTTTCTGATGATAATGTAGTCGCTTCATTAGCGAAATATGCAATAAACTCTCATTCAGCGACTTCGCTAAAACCGGGCGCCATGTTTAAAATTATGAGCGGGAAAACACCAGCCAATCATACGCTGAGATGATAATTCACCACTTGTGAGAACATTCGTCCGACCAATCGAAATGCTGAGACGATAAATTTCACATATCGTCCGCCATGAGTTTATGTCACTCATCTATCTACTGCACGGAAATCTCTAAAGTTACAATAACGTCATTTACCCAATAGACGCCCAGAGTCGAAATGAAATGGACAAGATGTCTGATTAAATTTGAAAATTTCCGATCAAATTTCATTTCGCTCATTTCTTTTTCCGGCTCTACATCGTTATTCGAAGCTCTGCAAACCTGTAAGAAACTTCAATAGATACTTACCCTGTTGCAGCAATGCTTAAATCCACGTATACAATTGTTTAGTGTTAAATATTTTATATTTTTTAGCTTTTCGAATTCTTATGTCAAAGGCTTCGACTTAGAGCAGAAGACGTTCGACTGTGGAATATGGCTGACGAAGTAAGTTATACGTAATGCAACAGCAGATCTACAGACAGGTTACGTTGTAGGTTACATTATGTTATTTCCATGCAATGTACTGAAGAATCCTATTTAATTATAGAACAATCTTCAGCTTCTTGATGAAGACCAGTTTCCTCAGTCGCTCGAGGCGTTGGGAATTGTCGATCAACATCCTATATTGATTGAAAGTAAGGAAATGGGGGGCGGGGGAGGGGGGGGGGTGAAAGAACAGAATAACTTGATTAAAGAGCGAGTTGCACCTATTGAAACAACGTCTGCATGTGATTGGCTAAGTCAAAATTTTGAATAATTTTGAAATTTTTTCCCCGTGAAAACTATGGAGCATTTCGTTCATACGTCGCGAAGGCGTTTGGTGTTGAGGTCTGCTCCACAGGAACCTCACCCTTACCTTATGAGTGTGAATTATATACAAATTTTGACCTAATTCAGTTTTATTCAAGTGAGCTAAAATGAACCGAAAAAATTATTTTGATTTCGTGCAGTTCGTAACCGTGATATGAGTTGGCCAGAGGAAATGACGTCATTAGCTTTAAATAAAGCAATTCAAGACAAACGACCACATGGTGAGTGACCTGTATTGTATCAGTTTGAATGAGACTCCCAAATTGCTGTGTCGACATTGAAGAGACATAATAAAATGTCTGTATTAGAGAGGCACCGTATTTGTCCGTAGTGGAATGTCCGTATTGGAAGAGTGTCCGTATTAGTGAGGTATCTATATTAGAGAGGTGTTCGTCGTAAAGAAGGGTGTGTATGGGAGAGATGTCTATACTAGAGAGGTGTGTGTATTAGAGAGACACCGTATTAGAGAGGTGTCGTTATTTCAGCGGTATCAATAAATAGATATTGTGAGATATCACAAAATAGATAATGTCTGCTTGTTTTTTGTCTGATAGCGATAATTAATATAGTATCATTATATTGTTTAGGTAAAGGTATGACTGGTCTAAGTAATCTTGGAAATACGTGTTTTATGAACTCAGCAATACAGTGCATGAGTAATACCGTACCACTGACCAACTATTTCACGGGGCGCTATCACCTATACGAACTAAACAAGTGAGTCCTATCCTATTTTCCCCAACAGTCGCGTGATTTGAGCTGTAATAGCTCAAAATACTGATTGTGATATGTTCTTTTTAGAACAAACCCACTTGGTATGAAAGGCAATATTGCAAAGCGATATGGCGAAGTTGTTCAAGATTTATGGAGCACCAGTTATAGATCAATTGCACCTTTAAAATTGAGGGTGAGTGTGAAACATTTTCCACTTTCCGCATATGTTCTCCGACAATTTCCGTCGATCCTTTGTGTTGTGAATTATTGATGAATTTGAGAAGTATTGTTTTAAAAAGTAAAATTTTGTGATTCTTTTAGTGGACCATTGGTCGGTATGCTCCTCGCTTTAACGGTTTTCAACAACAAGATTCTCAGGTACGTTTTACTTATGACAACAGGACAGAGTGTGATAATAACAGATAATCCCTGATAATGACTCAACCAGTAGTCGAAACGTTGAATTATAGTGTGATATCTGTTTGTTTGCAATATGCTATAAGATTTCTCTAGTGGTTATTTTTTGTTGTCAGGAATTCTTGGCATTCCTTCTGGATGGCTTACATGAGGACCTGAACAGGTATATAATATTTTTGTGTGATGTTGCACCGTGGAAGCTGGATAATAACCGAGTGACACAAGACTTGTTTGCTTATTTATTTACTTATTTATTACTAGAGTCCACAGCAAGCCATACGTTGAATTAAAAGACAGCGACGGACGACCAGATGAAGAGGTCGCTAAGGAGGTATGTTTTAATTGTTCGATTTACCAACCTTACAGATGACTATTTATGGTCAAAAGATACTGATCAGGATTTTGAACATCTCACGCAATAAAGGAAAATTTTTTTTCACCACTGCTGTGAAGAATGACAACAGTGTTAAGGATTGTGAAGAATGACAACAGTGTTAAGGATTGTGAAGAATGACAACAGTGTTAAGGATTGTGAAGAATGACAACAGTGTTAAGGATTGTGAAGAATGACAACAGTGTTAAGGATTGTGAAGAATGACAACAGTGTTAAGGATTGTGAAGAATGACAACAGTGTTAAGGATTGTGAAGAATGACGACAGTGTTAAGGATTGTGAAGAATGACAACAGTGTTAAGGATTGTGAAGAATGACAACAGTGTTAAGAATTGTGAAGAATGACAACAGTGTTAAGAATTGTGAAGAATAACAACAGTGTTAAGGATTGTGAAGAATGACAACAGTGTTAAGAATTGTGAAGAATGACAACAGTGTTAAGGATTGTAAAGAATGACAACAGTGTTAAGGATTGTGAAGAATGACAACAGTGTTAAGGATTGTGAAGAATGACAACAGTGTTAAGGATTTTCGATCTGGGAGAACACATAATTGACTCGTTTTTTCTTGCGCGTAGAATGTGATTGCAAACTCGTTGTTTGGATCTTTATATCATGAGGTATTCTTTGTCATTTTCCAGGCATGGGATAACCACTTAAAGAGAAATAAATCAATCGTCGTGGATCTATTTCAAGGCCAGGTAATGTAGCAATATTTAACAATTATTCGCCTCAGGCTCGGTGATTATTGAGGAATATTCGCCGAGATGAAGTCAAGGTGAATATTCCCCGATAATCACCGAGCCTGAGGCGAATAATTGTTTTAGTATTTTTACACAACTCTTTTGTGTAATACCCCCTCCCATTCGGAATCCCGTGCTATTCCTTATTAGAAGACAGGTGAAACGTTAATACCAAATATTTTTTTCTTTTATAGTTGAAAAGTTGTGTACGCTGTTTAGAATGCAATCATGTCAGTGTTCGTTTTGATCCTTACACTTTCCTATCTCTCCCGATTCCGATGGATAATTCCATATATGTCGAATGTATTGGTGAGTTATGATTTCAATTTGTTCGGCTTTGTTGAAAACACCGCGTGAATTTATGATTGCTTTTGATCCACATAGAAAGGTTCTATGTTCTCTCCAAACCTGCCCATGCTATTCTCATCATTTTAGCTTTATAATTCGACGATTTTATTATTCCCTGGTGAATAAGTACACACGTTAAAACGCACAAGTTGTTACAAGTCTGCAAACAAGTTGTTACAAATCTGTTCACAAGTTGTCGACAAGTTGTGTTCGCACTGCTTGTTCCCAGTTGTTGTAACAAGTTTGGAACAAGCTGTTAACAACGTGTAACAAGCTTGATGGCATTATCAGACTTGTTACAAGGTTGTTCTAACAAATCTGGTACAACCATGACATAACAAGAATGTTACAAGGTTGACAACACAAAGTTGTAACAATACTGCTGTATCGCGACTGTGTCGGACTTGTTGGAACAGTTTGTTCCAAACTTGTTGACAACTTGGGACAAACAGTGCGAACACAACTTGTTGACAGACCTACTACAACATGTGAGTTTTTACACGTTTAATCCAAAGGAGACAGTCGAATTTCGTGACTTTCACCTGATACGCTCTTGTCCAATGAAATGCAAGAAAACATGAACTTTGACATTTGATATCTAATAAATATAGTTGTCACCAATTCGTTTGTAAAGTTCATTATATCGATACAAAAATGTAAACAAAGCTGTCACATGCGAGGACTGTAGCACATCTGAGCAGGGGCTGACTTGTAATGTGTGACGAGTGTTTATCATCTCGTTGATGTAGTGGTCACACTTGATGGTTCAGTGCCAATTAAGTATGGTTTGCTGTTAAATACGGATGACAACTACAAAAAGTTGAAGAAACAACTAGCAAAACTCTGTTGTCTAACTCCCGCTCAACTATTAATGGCAGAGTTAATTGGTGCATCTATTAAGGTAAATGACCTGATTGATTTATTAATATACGAGCGATATAGGGTTAACCCTGGATATACTTGCTTTCCTATAAGCATCCAGAGTTGCAGGAAAGCTGCGCACATGCGGGTAGCAGCCATTTCAAGTTTTGGATTTTGAATTAACCCCTTGCTGCGTGGTCTATATGATTCTTAGTTTTTCATTTCTCTCATAGGGTCAACCCTCGGACGGCCAAAAAGTACGTTCCAGTCTATCAGGAATCTTGTATGCATTCGAGATCCCTTCCCCCCCGGCTGTGGTGGAGAATACTCCTCCAAGCATAGAAGTTGTTACCACAGGTGAAGCTACTAATAATGTACGGACGGAGGGTGATGTACCCACGCCGGACTGTGCCGGTGGAAACGACAGAGGCCCTGTCGAAAGACCGAACGAGGCACAGCCTTGCGAAGTCCGAAGAGCAGAGCTTGTACGAAGTCCAAGCCGAAGTAGCAGCGAAAGAAGTTATGGTGGTTCCCTAAAACTCCCGTGTCTCAGTCGACAGACATCGGACGACGACGATGACGATGGTATCGAAGTGGGCTCGGAAGCGTCGGGGAAAAGCAACATGGGATTATTGAAACAATTAAGTCCTAGGTTTATACGAAAACTTACCAGTAAGAAATCAATGAACGTTTGGAATACGGCAGAAAACACGACGAATAGCGAACAATCTTTGAGTGGTAAATCAACACCGGGCCACTCGCGAAATACAAGCATTTCATCGACCTCTGGTAGTCCAGGCACAACGCAATTTACAAGAAAACCCAGTGGGTATTTAATTGGACTACATCGGAAACTGGTAAATATAGACAAACGTTCTTATCGGTCATGTTTTACAACAGCCGTTTATTTCTTGTCAGCCTCTCTTCTCCTAGTAGATTTGTGGTGATGGCCGCTATCAGCTTCATTTATACATAGCAGGTACATACAGGTACAGGCGGGTACGTAGCAGGTACATACAGGTACAGGCGGGTACATAGCAGGTCCAGAGATCAGTGGCAGTTATTTAACTTGTGTCTGTTTTGCAGATGAGGATGGATGTATATTTCATAGCACCACAGAAGAATCGTCCAAGCTTATTTGGTTGTCCTCTCGTCATCCCCTGTACTGCAGGAACAAAGAACAGCGACTTATACTTGAGTGTTTGGCAACAGATATCAAGATTTGTTAGCGCACTGTCACCTGGAGATGACTTGTGTTCTAACAGGTTGGTTACTTAAGGCCTGATTCCACGAGGCGGAATTTTTCGACCGAAACGAAATTTCTCTCCGTCTTTTTACAATTAGTTCTGCTTGAGAACTCATGAAACAAAGAGAAATTTCGATTCGGTCGAAAAATTTCGCCTAGTGGAAAACCGCCTTTATGCCTCGTCCACATAAATCCGTTTTCTTTTAGGTCTCCGTAGGCCGTTACAAAATTACATAAAGTACGGAGTGATTAACGACCGCTGACAAGCATTTTTAACATGATTGTGGACTCGCATTTTGCAAAAAGGCGGGAATTTGAATCAAAATAATATCAAATTAGTGACATTGACAGGGAATGTAGCAATTATTATTTCACCGAAAAATGTTGTTCACTCCTATACAAGCGCTATTTTTAACTTAGAGCATAGTTAACCACGTGGTTAAAGTTAACCAGTATTTAACTACAAAATGAGTAGTTAAATAGCAGTCAAGAGTTTTATACAACCGACCCCTGGGGGTTTATTGATGAAGAAAACTTAATACTATAGTATAACTTAATGCGTAGAAAGCGCTTAATATATTGTGCTGCTAAGTACATGATGGACTTCAGTCGGACTAAAATTTTGAATAAATCGCATTTTTAATATTTTCAGAGAAAATGGGTACCCGTTTGAGTTAAAGAATGTCACAGACAGTGGTCTCTCATGTGCTGTATGTCCGTGGTTTAAGTAAGTATATTATCGCCCATATACGTTATTCAAGTTCTGAAATTGCACTCATAAAAATTTGAATATCCAGCGCTGGCTTTTCCCACATTAACTTACTTTTTTTTATAACATTTTATTACATATGATATTACATATGATAGTCATTGATTGAAATGTTTTAGGTTCTGTCGTGGCTGTACTGTCGAATGTAACGATGAACAGTTTAACTGCAACTGTGAATATCTCGCCATTGAGTGGGAACCCACTACATTGCACTTAAGATATCAGTCTTCACAAGAAAAGGTAAGAATGAACTAGCCCGGCATTCACCATCAGTTCAAGTATATATTCTTCACCACCAGTTCAAGTATATATCCTTAAAAATTTATCTACCAGATGTCCCCCAAAAAACTGGACACTGTTTGATTTCATGTAACGTAAAAGGTATGAAAGCTATCGCAATGACATAAAGATCGTTGCATTCAGAAAGGACTAACTTAGATTTTGATATATAACACTTGAATTTACATGCAATATTGAGCGAGATACTACCAAAATAAAAAGATTTATTATTTAACAACATTGGTAATTACAAGGTTTTTTTTTCATCTTCCAAAAAGCTTTCAACATGTATTTGTCATGTCTTAGGTGTTCAGTGAACACGACAGCGTGGAGCAAAGTCGTCGTCTCCAGACGGAACCTATTGATCTGTATGAATGTTTTAAAGCTTTCACGAAGGAAGAGGAGCTAGGCGAAGATGAATTGTGGTCAGTATATGTCATATCTTGCTTAGTTCTCGAAATAGTTAGACCAAAATTAATGTCCGCCATCTTGGACTAATTCTTGACCTCATTAACTATGATTTTGATGACGTCAGGAGTTGGGTTAACCATCTAAAACTGCTCTGAAATGACCGAGTAACAATCCAAAGTGGAACAAAAAAATGGCTCACGATCCGCCGAGGAGATTAGGGAGCTTAAGCATGTAGGACGGCAACACGACGACGACGGCAACCAATACAATAAGTCAATGAAAAGAAATAAATAATTAAAGTCCCAGGGGAATTTCAGACGTGGTCGTTGCTCTGTTTACAACGGCAAATCACAGATTTTCACGTCTTTTATACAACGCCTGCATTTCAAGGCGTAACAAGTGCAACTTGAAATTCGGTCAGTAGAACTCTTCCCAAACATAAAGCCAATGTTTTCAACTTCTTATACTGTATTAAATTCATACGAATTATAATATACAACAAGTTTTCTTTACTATCATTTATTTGAAGGAATTTGTTTTGGCCGTCGTCCTCGTGTTGCCGTCCTACATGCTTAAGCTCGCTAGTAACTGAACAGACAACGGCAAAATCTTATCTATTTGTTAAGTGGACCTCGAAAATTCAATCTATGAGAGATGAACTTTGAAGATCATTGGCATTGGTCTAGCAGAACCAATGCTATGTCTGTTTTAAATAAAGTCTAGTTCAACCAATGGACCGGTGAAGTCATGCGTCAGATGACTCCTTACTGGTTCTACTAGATCAATGCTTCCATTAAGTTTATAACGATATTCCTCTCATCACATATTCTGATATATATAGGTATTGTTCGAAATGTAAGAAGCATCAGCTGGCAAGTAAAAAGTTGGATATTTGGAGCTTACCTCCAATATTGGTAAGTGCATTTGTAAAACATTTTCAGAGCCTGGAAAAACGTTCAACCGACCAAGTTCTTAAATTTTGTCGGATAGTTTTTAGTGCAGAGTTTCTTTGAAACTGTGCACTATTGTGATGACTGGGAAAATTCACATCAGTCAGTCAGTCAATCAGTCATAGAGTTAACTTTCCGGGGGGTGTATTATGTGTATACGATTTATGTTTGTAGTGATTTATTGTGCTTTGAAGGTTATTTAGGCAATTTAAATTGTTTTATTTAAATATTCTTTTGTTCTTTTGCCAAGTTCACAAAAATTTCGAGGAATCGTTGTCGTTATTGTAATTTTTTGTAAATTTTATAACATTCGCTTCTGATGTTGTGTGAAGGATCTTTCCCCCGGAAAACCCATTTTTTTTCTTTAGCAACGCAAATGCGCATGCGCTATCAAGCAGTAGATCACGATGGCGTGACGATGCTAGGAAGGAGCGCTGGAGCGACACAGTGTTGTTTTCAAATTATAAACATTTTAGATGTGAATATTGAGTAAATCTTTGAGAATCTACGCAATATATAAATCGATGTTATGCATTACGGACATTCAATTAAGTATCGATATTATTTTGAGGGTACATTCATTGTACAGAGCTAGAAAGCAGCGAGACAGTGTTGTTTTCAAATGTATATTAAAACATTTCAGACGTCTATTATATTGAGAAAATCTTTGAGATACTACGCAATATGAATTGATGTTATGCATTACGGGCTTTAATTAAGTACCGATATTACTTAGTTTGACGGTAAATACATTGTACAGAGCTAGGAAGCAGCGAGACAAGTGTTGTTTCGAAATGTATAAACATTTCAGACGCGTATTATATTGAGAAAATCTTTGAGATACTACGCAATATATAAATTGATGTTATGCACGTAATGCATTCAAGTGCCAATATTAGTTTGACGGTATATTCATTCTACAGAGCTAGGAAGCAGCGAGACAGTGTTGTTTTCAAATGTATATTAAAACATTTCAGACGTCTATTATATTGAGAAAATCTTTGAGATACTACGCAATATGAATTGATGTTATGCATTACGGGCTTTAATTAAGTACCGATATATATAACTTAGTTTGACGGTAAATACATTGTACAGAGCCAGGAAGCAGCGAGACAAGTGTTGTTTCGAAATGTATAAACATTTCAGACGTGTATTATATTGAGAAAATCTTTGAGATACTACGCAATATGTAAATTGATGTTATGCACGTAATGCATTCAAGTGCCGATATTAGTTTGACGGTATATTCATTGTGCAGAGCTAGGAAACAGCGAGACAGTGTTGCTTTCAAATGTATAAACATTTCAAACATAAATATTGAGAAAATCTTGGTTTACGTGTCTAGCACAACGTCAACGGTGCAAACTCATGTTCAGACTTCAGTGCAAGTGTGCAACGAGAACTCTACCAGATCTTACGAGAATCTATCTGTATCAAAGCTTGTCAAAACTGCTATAAACACTGCTATAACTGTGAAACCATTGAAATATTGATTACATGCGAAAAGCTGAAAATGAATCATGAATACAACGTGACCTTCAAAGTAACTCAAAGGTCAGTGAGCTTGTTATTGTGATACGTCACAACTAGGTTAAAATGCGGAAGCGGATGCGAAACGGAGCGGATCCACGGAACGGATATGGAGATAAAATGCGGAACGGAACGGATTTGATAAATCCTCTTTTTTACGTTTCTGTGTTTTAGATTTATGTTGTTTTTTTTTAATGGAATACAACGTCGTAGTGCTTATTAGTGTGAAAAATCGTCGTAGTGTGAAAAATTGAAAGTTTTGCATTTTGCACAGAACTGGCCACTTTCTGTAAGATGTCCGCTGACAATACAAGCCCGCACAAGTGGGAGTACTTTTGCTAAATTGGACCAACGTGTTATTCATAACATATCTTATACAGCTATTTCAATTAAAGTTGTGACTGGGACAATAGTCAAATGTACAATATGGGCGCTAAAACGATGATGGCATTGGCAATAATCATAGATTTAAGTACTATTTAAAAACGCGTAGGAGTGTTTTACCACATATAAAACACGACGCGTAGCGGAGTGTTTTATATGTGATAAAACACGACTACAAGTGCTTTAAATAGCTTCAAAAACGACTCATCTTATACGAGTTCATTGGCGAAGTAATTTTTAAAATAAACTTTGTCTAAACCGAGAAAATCAAAGCTAAAGTTTATGTAAATTAACGTCATTTTTTATCACATATAAAACCACGACACGCTTATGATTTTTCTTTGTGTTTTTCCTGAATTATTAATGAGTTTTTGAAATAAGTTTAGCATATCAGTAGCCTTGTGGGGATACTTGGCGACAGCTTCAATACATTGTGTCAGTTCCACGAAGCACGATGTTTCTGATGTGTTAGGCTTGTTTTAAACGTCGGGTTACTCGTGTGCCGAACGCATTGAAAACAATAGATAATTAGATGAAATGCCTATGATAACTGTTTATTTCGTAGTGTAACCCATGTGACAACATGTAATTAAGGCTATAAGCCACGCTTGAAAAGCTATTCAATTAATAAGCATGCCTTATAGCGTTTGTCTTTGAAACTCTGCACTATCCTTGGATCCCTAGTTCGATTTCATTTTGACTCCTGACGTCTATTGGGTAGATCAGGCCAATAAATAATGGTAGGATATACATTATGATAGAAAAGAAATGAATAATTAAAGTCCCTCGGAGTATTAGACGTCTTGTATATAACGTTTCAAGCCGCGGCAAATTGGCTTCAGTAGAAGTCTTCTCAGCTATAAACCTGTCTAATCTCCTAAACCTGTATTAAATTCATACAACGGATGGTAATTACACGATAATTTATTTATTTGAAAGAGTGTGCTTTAAGGCCGTTTTCCACTAGGCGAATTTGTTCGCGCGACGCGAAGCGAAAACCGAAATCCGGCAACGTGATTGGTTGGCGAAAAAATTCGCGGCGAAAAAGTAGGATCGCTTCCTACTTTTTATCTGTTCGCGCGAATAAATTCGCCTAGTGGAGAACGGGCTTTAGCCGTCGTCGTCGCGATGTCGTCTTACGTGCTAAAGAGTAAAGATCCCTGTATTTTTCCATACGGTTTTGTCAGCATTCCAGCTCACAAGGAACTTATAGTTTTTAAACTGTTCTTTCTCTTTAAGATAATACATTTGAAGAGATTCCAATTCATGAACGGTCGGTGGGTGAAATCAAACAAAATCGTCAACTTTCCTATGGAGACGTTTGATCCATCGGAATTCGTCGTGAAACGATCGGCCTCGACGGGCAATTTTGAGACGGGAGAGGATAGTACATTTGTAAGAACAGTCAACGTTCAGACAGTTGTCGAGGATACGTTGCAGCAACCAGGAGAACAAATAACTGTCCAAACGCATTCTGATAAAGTAAGTGCCTAATTTGTGGATGATATGGTTTAGTAATTTAATTAACAATTATTCACCGAAACAGAGGGGAATGCTGTAAGGATATACCGCAACAAAACAAAAATGTGACAACTTGGTTAGCGCCTAACCTATCGAAGGGGAGATGACTGTAAAAGTCATTACAATAACAATATAACTTATTTGTGTGATGTTACTCTGAGTGTACCTGTATATCCACACTGGACAGGCTTGAAAAATATGACTTACCACGGTGGGATTCGAACCTACGACCTTTGGAATACTAGCCCAATGCTCTGCCAACTGAGCTATACGCGGTCAGGTATCCCAAAGGTCCTAGGTTCGAATCCCACCGTGGCCAGGCATATTTTTAAAGCCTGCCAGGTGTGGATATACACTCAGAGTAACATCACACAAACATCTTATTCACCTGAGTACATTACACCAACACAGCAAACAATATAATTCATCTATGTTAGTCAACGTTTATCAACATGTTGATAAACGCCTGTTACGCAGGCTAGAAAACAAACGGGTTTTATTTATTTGGTTTTATTTATTTGTTTATTTTAGACGCTTGTAACCTCAGAGAGGCAACACAAGGGATCAAGTGATTCAGGTTTGTCATCCAACTCGTCAGGTTATTCCAGCAATGAATCCTGTGTTGTGAATGAAGGCAATGCTGACATCAACGAAGATTCTGACTGTTCGTCGCAATCAGTTAGCATCGACAAACACTCTGAAACACATTTAAATGAGGACACACATTCACGTTCTACAGAAAAACATTTAAATATGGAGAAGAATGCTGGCAAAATCCACCCGATTGTTAAAGTATCGAGTGAAACAACGCCAGAAAAAGACGATGTAGAAAAAGACTGTGAATCGGTAGAACAGCATGTCTCTTGTGAGGAAAAAAATGAATTGGATCGTATATCTAGTTGTTCTTCTACAAGCAAGACAAGTGATGTAAACTGTGTAGGAATTAATAGTGTGGACACATTTAATGATGTTTCGGTTGTCGCTGAAAAGAATGTCACCCATGGTGGTGATTCTCACATGTTGTACAATTTATATACCATATCTGTAAGTATATTAATCTTTTTTTAAGGATGTAATTTCTTAAACTTACTATTGGTATAGGTAATCGGATGGTTTCGAGTTCAATTTGGATAAAACGTGCACGAGTGAGTTTTTCAAAGAGCGTCAAAATGTTATTAACAGGAAAAAGGGGCGGTGAAAGGGATAATCAAACACAGAACTTACGATGTGATGTCATGCGCTCGAATGAACGCCCACATGCATAATAAATGTTTTACCACATTAATTAAAGTTTCTTTAACTGAAATCACATGTCACTTTCTTTGTCAGAGCCACACTGGCGTGATGGGAGGTGGTCATTATGTTTCGTTCTCAAGAAATCCAAACTCGAAATGGTTCTGTTTTAATGACAGCAGTTGCAAGGTTAGTATAGCGAAATTGTATGATTAATAAATGAATAATTGACCTATAGTGATAATTACTAAGAGCTATCAATAATATGTAGTAATTATCAACATATGTAATCATTAATATTATTAATAATATATAATTATTAATAATTAATTAAATTAAGAATTACGTTGATACAAACAATTAAATTGATATTAATTAAGTAATAATAATAATAATAATAATTAATGAATTAATGAACATTTTGGGAACGTTCAAATATTGCCTTAATTACTTGTGACATATTGTCTTAATTACTTGTGACATATTGTCTTAATTACTTGTGACATATTGTCTTAATTACTTGTGACATATTGTCTTAATTACTTGTGACATATTGTCTTAATTACTTGTGACATATTGTCTTGATTACTTGTGACATATTGTCTTAATTACTTGTGACATATTGTCTTGATTACTTGTGACATATTGTCTTAATTACTTGTGACATATTGTCTTGATTTATAGACCATATGACATATTGTCTTGATTTATAGACCACCATATTCTACAAATCACCCGGTAACCGTGAATGCATTTATTGTTGAATTTTCGCAGTACTTGGAGACTATTATAATGTCGACGGATCCACTTATTATCACGGGTGATTTTAATATTCATGTGAATTCAAAAACAGACGGTGATAGTCTGAAGTTTGTCGATCTGCTATTGTCCATGGGTTTACAGCAACATGTCGAATTTTCTACACATGTTTCTGGAAACACTCTTGACCTGGTAATTACTCGAGAGGTGGACCCTATTTTGGGATCACCCCCTCGTCCGGACCACCTTTTCTCTGATCACATGGCTATCTCATTTGGGCTTAATTCTTCCAAACCACTTCCTTCAAAGAAATGTGTAACTTACAGATCATTGAAATCTATAAATATTACTAGTTTTATGAAAGACCTGGGTGAATCAAAACTATGCCTGGATGCTCCTACACAACTTGATTCCTTGGTAAACTGCTATAATAATACATTATCTTCTGTTCTGGATCGCCACGCTCCGCTGAAGAGGAGAATTGTTACCTCTAGGGCTATGGTGCCATGGTATGACGAGGAAATCAAACTTGCAAAGAAGGAAAGAAGGAAAGCGGAGCGGAAATGGCGGACTACAAAAACGACGGCAGATTTTAATAAATTTAAATCATTGAAAAACCATTGTACTCAATTAATGAGGAAAGCAAAATGCTCCTTTTTCTCTGATTTTGTCAAAGAAAACAGCAATAACCAAGGGACTCTATTCAAAGCTATCAAAGGAATGCTGGTTGAAAAAAATGCAATAAGTTTCCCCGGACGTAATGAAACAGCTCTCGTTAACGAACTTGGCAAATATTTTGTTCAGAAAATCTCTAATATCCACTCTGAGATAAACAACGAGATTTCTTCAAATAATGATGGTCACGTAGATCCTCCAAGTGATGACAATGAGGAGTATCCGGGTGATGTATCGCATTTTGATGCGTTCGAGCCCTTGTCTGAGGATGATGTTAGAAAGCTTGTTGTGGACTCGCACAAAAAATCATGTTACCTTGATCCAGTGCCAACAGATTTCTTGGTGAAATGTCTGGATGTGTTACTTCCTGTGATTACAAAAATAATCAATATCTCACTTGAAACTGGGCACTTTCCTAGAGACTGGAAGGAAGCTATCATTCTTCCCATATTAAAAAAGTCTGGGCTGGAGTCCGCTTTTGAAAATCTTCGTCCCATCAGTAATTTAGCATATATTTCAAAGCTTATTGAACGAGCAGTATATAATCAAACGCACGATCATATCCTTCGATGTGGCTTTTATCCAGTTTTGCAATCTGCTTACCGGCGGTATCACTCCACAGAGACTGCGTTACTCAAAGTACTCAATGACATTTTGTTGAGCATGAACAGTCAACGTGTCACTCTCTTGGTTCTTCTGGACCTAAGTTCCGCTTTTGACACAATTGATCATGGAATTTTGCTGGAACGGTTAAGGTCAAAATTTGGAATACGTGGAACAGTTCTCAGTTGGTTTTCTTCCTATTTGTCTGGTCGAAGTCAACGTGTTATGCTAAATGGTACCCTTTCTGATTCATCTGATTTGAACTTTGGTGTCCCGCAGGGTTCGTGTTTGGGGCCTCTTCTTTTTATATTATATGCCTCCAAACTGTTCGATATTATTAACAATCACTCGCCAGATTTACATGGTTTTGCTGATGACACTCAGTTGTATGTGTCATTCAAACCTGACTACCCATGCGATCAATGTGAAGCGATCTCGGTAATGGAAAGCTGTGTCAACGATCTTCGGAAATGGATGATTCAATATAAATTGAAACTAAATGACGGTAAAACTGAACTGTTAATAATTAGATCTAAGCAGCAACTGCAGAAACTTAACCCATGCCATGTACGTGTCGGGAATGCTGATGTCCTTCCTGTACCAATAGCTCGTGATCTAGGAGTTTGGCTTGATTCAAATTTAAAAATGTCATGTCATATAACAAAGACATGTGGTGCCGCATTCTACTGGCTTCACAACATCAAACGCATCAGCAAGTTTTTATCTCGGGAAAATCTGTTGACTGTTATACACGCCTTTGTTACAAGTCGACTAGATTATTGTAATGGTCTCCTGTATGGTTTACCAAATACTGAACTGATTAAGTTGCAGAGGGTTCAAAACGCCGCTGCAAGATTAGTGACTTCAGCACGAAAATACGATCACATTACACCTATATTACGTGAACTACACTGGTTACCTGTGAAGTTCAGGATCCATTTTAAACTGCTATTGCTTACTTTTAAAGCTTTACATGGAATGGCTCCAAAGTACATAGTAGATCTACTCGTTGTTAAAGTGGAAGGAAACTACCTTTTACGCTCTAATGATAGCATAATGCTAGAGTTCCCTAAGGGTAAATTTTTACGGTCATTTGGCGACCGATCTTTCACTATGGCAGCTCCGAAACTTTGGAATGAACTTCCGAAAGAAATTCGTGACATTT